CGCGGCCACGCTGAGCGGAGGGGGCGGCCCCGGGGCCCAGGCGGCAAGGCCCGGCACGCCGTGGAAGAGCCGCGCGTACAGCCCGGGCATCCAGGGGTGAGTGCGCCCGCCTCGCGGGGCCGCCGAGGACGCCGGCACTTGAACAACTCCCGTTAGGACGGGATTGACAGTTCGGGATGGAGGCCTGGGGACAGACGGGCACGCCGTTCTCAGCTTCCTCCCCTCCAGGGCTGGGAAGCCAGGGGGGCCTTGCTGGTTCAGACTGGGGAGCTTAGGAGCTTGTTCTTGCCGATAAGTTAAATCGTGTATTTTAGTGTGGTCAGGTTGAAGGTATTTTTTTTTCCTTCCTTTTTTTGGAGACAGTAGGTTTTTGATAGTGATACAGCTTAGCCATCAGGTGAGATTGAGAAGTGGGGTGCTGTGTGTGTTGAGGTTACCTAGTACGTTTTAATTCTGGGCGGACGTTAGCAGAGCATCACCTGGGGATTCTAAAAAGCTGCTTGATGGCACGCAGAATTCTTTCCTGTGTACTCACGGGAAGGTGTCATTTTCATTTAGAAATTTTCCACACATCCCAGAGGACCTTTAGGGTTTAATGTCCCCAGTGACAGCAAGGTGGGGGCGTTGGTTTGGAATTGCCTCAGGTGTGACTGCTCTTGTGTGAAGCTATTCATTCAACCCGTTGGCTTTTCTGAGCCTCTAGAACAAAATATTTGTGTGTACTTTGTGCGTTTCAAGACTGGTGAGCTTGGCTTGCCTCAGTTCCTGCGGATCTAAAAGACATCGAAACCCCCCTCCCCTCAGGCCTTCTCAGGGAGCTGGATCTGCTGACAACCCAGTTTATGTTGGCTCCTTGGGTTGCTAGACCCTGAGACTCGTGTGAGGTAACTTCTTAGGGGACCGATACTCTGCCGAGTGTGTGGTACATTGTAACATTGTAACGGTTGCGCATCCTGCAACTTGTTTCACCTGGTTTGGGGTGGGAGTCATGAGCATGCACTACAGACCTGGGGGAGGCCGGTTTCTTCTGCTGATTCTCCACTGCTTGCTTGTAGAACTTTCTGAGGCAGGTGTCAAGGAACAGATTGTGTGTGTGGCAGAAGCCTCCGGAGGGAGGTTTCTAGACTGTTACATAACTGTAATGGAACCAGTGTCTCTACTGTTAGTTGGGGCTTGACCCGGGACAGTTCCGCTTGTGCACCAAGCATGAGCAGTGTGGGCTGCCCCTCTGCCGTAACTGTGGCTCTCGAAGTGGTCTCGATGGTGGTTTGTAAGCTGGTCAGCCTCTGTTAGTCTGGGTGCCACTGTGGGCCAGGTGTGTTTCTAGAGTCTGGGGTGGGGTGAGTGACATGTAGTCTATGGATCCCCCAGACCTGGTCCATCCCTGGAGTGCCCCTTCCTGGTCTGCTTGAACATTGCTACCTAGGTGTTGACACTCGCCTCCTGCCATCCTTTCTCCCAAGTCCAGTCATCGATCAGATGCTGTCCCCTGGGCCTGAGTGTCTCCTCATACTTCAGGCACATCAGAATCATCTCTGGTGGAGGCTGTCGGAGCAGTCCTAGACTGGTGTCCGTCCGATTTAGTCACTGTGGCCTAGCCTGTGTCCTTGGTCATCACTGTCAGTGGGATGAGGTGCTACCAGCTCCCAACTCCACAAGACTCGCCTCGTCTCCCACCCTTCCCCCACCTCCAAGAGAGATGAATGCCTGAACTCAGTGGTGCTTGGGCTCTGTTACTCAGCTCGCCTTAGACCCTGCCTCAGTTTCCCGTTTACTCAGTTTAGGGCACTACGGTATAGGTCCTAAGAGGACTCTGAACCAGCTAAGAGCCTTGATCCTCTCTGGACCAGGAGATGCCACCCATATCTCTTCCACGTGCCTGGTGACTTATCTGTCTCAGGTGGCTTGTGTCATGGTTTTGTTGCGGGGGGGGGGGGGTGTGAATCCTGGAGGAAGAGCTTGCTAGCCAGCTTGGCCGGCCTGGGGGGGCAGGGTACCCTGCCTGGTTCCTCCTGTGAATGACCTTTCCGAGGTGGGTAGGGAGAATTAGTAAACCAGGACAGCAGTAGAGTTGGGCTTGTGTGTTAGGAGTAAAGGTGGCCCCAATGATGGTTTCCATGTGGCCGGTTGGTCTTATGTGAACTGACCTTGGGATGGCAAGAAAGAGACCTGTCTGAATCTTGTCATGTCTACCAGCTTGTCTAGAGGGATGTGTGGGCCAGCATCAAGCCTTGGTGACTTAGTAAGAGACAGAATGAAGGTCAAGTGTTGGCTGAAGTGTGGCCCAGTTAACAGTGAGGGGCCGGTTTGGGAGGGGTTGCCAAGTGTTCTTTCTAGTCTCAGGGTATGCCTTTCAGGGGACACCCTGCAGACCTCAAGAAAGGTGGTGTGGTTTTCCAGTGGCTGAGAGTCCACGGCTCCTGCTGAGCCCAGCTGGGTCTCCTCCGCCTGGTGGACACGTGGCACCTGCAGCACCCATCCTTCTCTGGGTTCATGGACTGCTAGGCGGCTTTCCACTTCGGGTAGGGTGAAAGGACAGGCTTAGAGCACGAGCCTGGAGAGTAAAGACGGTGAACCCCGGTGTGAGTGCTGCCCTGGCACAGGCCTGAGCTGACTTCTGAGACCGTTGTTTAGGACTTGGCATACGTAGTGTTGGACATGCCCACTACATGAGCTCCTCTCCCAAAGCTGGAGGCAGCTGTGGATGGGCTCTCTGGGTTCTCCCTTTCTGTGTTAACCCGCCTGGCCCTCTGCGTCCTCACCTCTGACCCACAGTTTGATTCCTTTGCCGTGGTCGGTCTCTGGCTTTAGAAGCTCCCTCAGGTTAAAGGTAAGGAGAGTCCTTTAGGTGAGGGTGGGGTGTGGGCTCATGCATTTAGCCACATCCTCCTCACTGCCGTCTTCCGGCAGGAGTGCAGAGGACACGGGAGGCCTTTGCACACAGCTGCAGCACCGTGACCTGAGTTGGCTCTGAAGGTTGTGGCCGTCCAGGTGTGCCCGTAGTAGCAGCTGTCGGGAGCGGTTTCTTGGCAGCCCTCCTCGCCATGGTTGGTCTTGATGTGTTCCGTGCCCTTGGTGACGGAATCCCATTGTCTGCGTGAAGCCTCCGGGGTCAGCAGTGAGAGTGTGGTTGTGATTGGGGTGCTCACAGGGCTGCACGCATCCCTCTTCTGAGGGAGGGGGTCCGAGCTTGATGGAGCAACCAGGTTCCCTCTTCCCGCACGCTTCCTGCCTGCTTTGACAGAAGCAGTGGGCCTTTCCTCAGAACATCCCGGAGGCTCCACTGGGAAGGCACTGCTGAGGGCCCCCTGGGGTGTACTGTGGGACATAGGGTAGTCTCCGTGATCTCCTTCCCTGGGCTCCTGTGAGCATCGGGTGCGTGGGAAGTTGTAAGCGCCGCCGCCTCTGCTGGTGACGGTGGTACACGTGGTCTTGCTTCACAGAGATGGTCATAGTTGAGGAGGGAGGTGAGAAGGGTCACCCCACACAGATGCTGAGACATACTGACCTGTACATTAGCAACACTCTTGTACAACGCTCCTCCACACGGAGACGGAAAGGCTAGGGCACATGCTGCTGCTAGGGTGCCTAAGGGGAGTCCTGGAGGACCAGCCGCTGGGCCACGGGGCTGTCACCAGTGAGCCATGGCTTGCTCAGGTTGGAGAGCTGATTCTGGAGAAGGCTACCCAGCAGGACAAGGCCAGTCGAGTTTTTGGACTAGAATATTGAACAGGCTGGCAAAACCCTTTGGAAACATGAGAGGCCCTAGGGTTAGAGAGGCCCTGGGTTTGGTTCCTTACACCAAGGAGGAAAGAAATAGAAGGGGCGCGGTAGGGGGGGACGAGGAAAAAATGGAAGCCTAGAATGATTTTAAGCAAATTTCTTATGGCCATGCTATAGAAGTTAGAGAGGGTCTTGGTGTCGTGATCTTTGGATGAAAAAGCAGTACTGTTTTCACCTTAGGAACAACATGCTTGTGGCTGAAAGTATTTTTTAAGTAAACTTTTATGTGTTTTTCTTCTTATATATTTACTTATGATTTTTATGTATGTGCCTGTGTGAGTTTATGTGGATCATGTGTGTAAGCATCCAAGTGTCCACATTTGCCAGAAGAGGCCACTGGATTCCCCTGGAACTGTAGTTACAGGCAGTTGTGGGCAACCAGATGTGGGTGTTGGGAGCAACCTGGATTCTCTGAACGAGCAGTAAGTGCTCCTAACTGCCAGGCTATCCGTCTAGCTCCTTAAGTAGACATTTAAAAGAAAAAAAAAATACATAATTTTAAGGCTTGTGCTTCAAAGCCTTGGCTATTTTTTATTATAAATGTGAGCTTTTGGGTATCATCTTTAAAGAGTTCATAGGAAAGTGGCCTTTGGGAGCAGGGATCCCAGCGCACCTTGGACAGGAAGAGGCTGTACCTTGGTGAGGTGGGATGGATTGGCATCAGATCTTAAGGTTGTGAAGGGCAAGTTGTACTTAGAAAGTAATCCAAGATCTCAAGTCCAGAGGCTTCTTGTGATACCGCAGCCAGATTTCAGGCTGCAGGAGTGACCACCCTTCCCAGCAGCCATCCCTAGAGCTTGTCATGGGCCAGTGTTGCTCTGATGAGGCCAGCTCCAAGACCGGCCAGCCTGTTAGTGTTGCTTTTCCTTTAAGCTAAGCTGGATGGGACACTAGCTCCAGAAGGTTGCCCAGGAGAGTGCGGCCTGCAACAAAGGCAAGCAGGTGATGCTCTGTGTGAACGTGCCCAAGTGGGGCGGCCATGTCTTCTCCCCAGTTGGTGTGTGCACTGACTCAGTCAGCATCGTGTTCTTGATATTTCTGTGCTTTCCTGCTTTTCTGTGCTCAGGTAGCAAAGCACTGTGAACTGGCTTTTGGAACAGTTATCTCATTAGGCATGTTCTTGGAGTCACATTAGGAAAGCTTGGGTGGGTTCTCCATTCAGCTCTTACAAGGCAGGGGTCTGAGTATCAGCTGGCTGGTGTCACATCTGTCTCCAGGGCCCACTCTGAAGCACATTCCTGCCTTTGTGGCACACAGGCTCTCTTCTTTTCTAGGGGCTCCCTGTATTTTGTTTGGGCTTTTGGTCCATTCCATCTTCAAGCCCACAGGATGCCTTAACCCCGACGTCTCCTGCCAGTTAGAGGAGACCCCTTCCCTGCAAGGGCTCACATGACTGGGTAGACCATCCAGACACCCTGTCTTCAGGGCATGTAATTCAGTGTGATTCAAAGGCGCACAGGTCATAAGGCGCACAGGTTCGGCCACTGGGTACTGACTGCCACACACGCAGGCGTTGTTCAGTGCGGAGTCGGCTCTGCTGTGGGAAGAGCAGGCTGTGGTGGCTTGTCCAGCACCATGTCCTTTGCTTGGGCATCAGCCCATTGGCAGTGACTCTTGCATATTGTCAGTTCTGTCCTTTGGCTTGGTTGTCACTCCTGAATTTGGGCTGGGAGATGACAAGAGCTGTGTGACTTTCTGTGCCCCTTGAAGGTGTATCATTCTTCAGTCTCTTATTTTAAAAAAAGTTTAGAGAAGAACCATTTGATCGCACAGAGACTGTGACTGAAAAGTCCCAACCATGAGGTGCCCTGCATTGGTCAGCCTGTCTTGGTGACCCCTGGAGTTGCCACTTGGTAATTACAAAGTGGCCCATCACTGTTTTGTCTAAGATGTGGGCAGCACCTGCTCTTCAGGTCAGGTTGATGGAAGGGTGGCTTCCCTAGGCCTCGGCTGCAGAGCGTGCGCCGCCTCCTGGAGGAGCCGAAGGCGCTCACAGTTCTTGCCTTGTCCCTTCCCGAGCCCCTCTCCGTGGTCAGTTCCTGTGGAGTCAGCTCCCGCTGCCCCAGCCTGCCCTCTGGAGTCAGCGTCCACCTTCTCTGCCCGCCTTTCTCCTGTGGCTTGTGACACTGCTCTCCACAGAGGCTGCTTTGCACAGCTCTGGGTCTTCCCGGTGTTGGTTTCCCGAGGGGCAGCAGTGGGCATAACCTTCCAGTTCTAGTCCTGGGAACGGCGGAGGTCGGTTAAGGGAACACAAAGTTGAATATTCCCGTTTCTACCTGAGTTTGTTTCCCATATTGGGAAGCGTGCACTTGGCTTTGAGAAGCTGCTGCTCACATACTTGGTCTGGTTCTAGCTGATTTTACCTGGGTTCTAATTCCCACAGCTCAGTTTCCCCACCTGAGAAGTAGAACCTGTGACATCTACCTCATAGCAGTCAAAAGAAAACTCAGCTAGTTTGTGAGCTGGTCTGCATGTGTGGCAAAGGCTGCTCCTTCCCTCTTTCCTTCCCTCTTTCCTCCCCTCAGGAAATAGAAACCCAAAAGGGCTTCGTGTTGCCAACAGGAAAAGCCTTCCTCTTTTTTTTTTTTTTTTTTTTTTTTAAATAGGCAAAACTACAGACCCAAAGCTCCAAGTCTTAGAAAGGGGAGGAGGAGGATGTTGGCTCAGCTGAGACCAGGATTGACACTGGGCAGTTTTGGGATAGTCTCCCCGCCTCCGCACCCCCCCACCCCAAATCTGCAGTTGTATTTTAACTGCAGACAGCACCTCAAGGAGTCTGTTCTGGGTTGAGTGTGTGTTGTGTAACTGGTGGCTGGTGAGTTCTGAGATGCGTGTGTTGTGGTATTGGTCCGTCCGTGGGTTATGAGTTCTTAATCTTGTGCTCAGAGTGGAGCATGAGTGGCAGGAGATGACCGACTCTCAGGTCTTTGCTGCCTCCTACACCGTGGATTTGTCGGGAGGACACAGAGTGGGCTGGGGAGCCAGGGAAGCCGGGGTGGCAGAGTCCCGTGCAGAGGAGGGCATGCTGTATCTGTCCTGGGTAGAAGCCACTGGCCATGTGTACTGGCCAGCACTTAGAGGGGGGCCAGTGCAGGTGAAACACGGAGTTGAAATTTAATTTATTGATTTGTTTTTGTGGAGTTGGGAATCAAGGTGCTCAGCTTGAGTATGCCGGACAGACACTGCTCATGAGCACCCTCCTGAGCCCTTATTTAATGTTAGTTAAAATTTAAATGGCCGTGTGTTTGGACAGTGCTGACTTTGTGTAGCTGTGCGTTCTCTTTGAAATAGTTTGATTCAGTAAGTTGCTGAAATAAATTGAAACTCAACAGCAGTGAAAACTGTGTTGCTCAGCAAGTCGCTGTGGATAAAGCTCTAGAAATCATGTTTCTGACTTTCCAATGCAAATCTTTTAGGAAAGGCTGATATTTTCATGACTCAAGCAGCATGGAATAGGAGAGTGCAACATGGAGCAGCTTTGAGGAGACGTGATGGCCGCTGGTGTTTCACACATGGGCTGCTGATAGCTTTGGAGGTCTCTCCCAGTCTGTTTTTCCCAGCAGCTCTTGTGCACAGGATTCTGGGAGGCTAGTGAGCCCTGCTCCACTTTCCTCTTTGACTTCCTGGTTCACAGCCACAAATAAGCAATATTTCTTGTGTTTTACAGACACAAACCCAGTCTAGATTGGCTCCCGTGCTCTGGCAGTCACTCTGCACTTGTACACGCCGGTCAGTGCTGATGATGAGGGAGCCAGCCACCACCAGACCAAGGCATAGGCAAACCCGGAGATAAGCTCATAAGGGGCCTTTACTGTCCCTAGGATTCCCATTCCTAATGAGAATGGGCAGATTCAGACCCTGCCTGTGGTTCCTCTTGTGTGGGTGCTTGGCTGGGTGGGGGAAGGGGACAGACAGAGGAAGACCTTTGGGACTGGATCTTACTTCCCAGGCAGTCTCAGAGATTGAGTTCTTGGCAAGATGGAGAAGCTGTGAGGTGCTGACTTGCAGACTCTTGACTCCCACTGGGAAGGCCGGGTACCCTGCACTCCTTCTCAAGAGCCCATTTTAACCAGACGAGAGAAATTTTCCAAAGACCCTTAGATCTTGTCCAAGGGCCATGTAGGAAGTGGTAGAACTGGGCCCAGACTAGCTCCTTGCCTGGCAAGTCCATGTACTTCACCACTGCCTTCCAGAGAGGGCGTGGGAGCATTCGAGTTGAGAGCCAGAAGCATGATTTGGTGAAATGGCAGAGACAAGAGGTATGGTGAAGTGTAATGAAGAAGGAGTATTTTGGTCACAGGCATCTTCTCTAAATTTAAGTAGCATTTTAAAAAGTGAGAAACAATCATGATATGGTATCTAAAAGTGAAAAGAGCCCTTGGCATGGTCTGGGAGAGTATAGCTACCAGTTACTTCATGAATCAGTCACCAGGAACTAGTATGTGCACAGGAGCAGGATGCTAGAAGGAAGGCCATAGCGCTCACATGACACACTGAACTAGAGTGGGCTCGAACACCGTGTAGGACTTGCAGGGAGCAGCTTGTGGAATGAGGAGAGCTGCAGGGAGCTCACTGTGCAGGGAGCCTTCTTAGCTGGGGGCTCTGCCCGTCTTGGTTCCCGCCTGGCAGTGGCCTGCTGTCTGTCATCCCTTTACCCAGTGTTTGCTGCTGCCCTTCAGGATGCTCCCAGGAGGCATGGCACTCAGCAGAGCAATCCACCCAGAGTAGCACAGCTGGCAGGGGCAGGCTGTCAGTGGAGCCCAGGCTCTAATTCCTGGCTCACTTGTTAACTAGGAGCCCTGCAAAGGGGCTTGCCAGAGAGGTGAGGACGGGAGCAATACCTGTGAACCCTGGGCCAGATGCTGCCACGACTCCTTCCCTGGCGTCTGAGGACTGGCTTTGAATACCCCCAGGAACGTGAGCGTAGCTTCTCACAAATCTAGCGGCAGGACCTGGAGCTGTGTTCTGCTAGCTAGAGAGTGGCCTCCTTCCTTGCCACCTAGTTTACAGATGACCTTTCAGAGTATTATGCCCATTCATTTATTCGTTGTTGTTTTTTGCTTGTTTGTTTTTTGAGAACGGGGTAGCAGCCACTGCTGACCTCAAATTTTCCTGCCTCAGCCTCCTGGCTGCTGGGATTACAAATCTGAGCCACCATATCTGGCACCAGTTTTAAAATAATGATGCATTTTTGAAGCTCATTTCCTTAGAAGTAGGAGCTTTGAAGTACCACAGTCCCATCACCCAGAAATCACCGGGATCATTAGGTGACCACAACTATAGATGGCATTCTCTGAGATCCTATAGGGGCCACTTGGAGCCATCAACAACAGACTCACTAGAACCATCTTCTTTTAAACTTTGGTGAATTATTTATTTTGCTTCAGTAGGAGATGTGCAGTTTCAGATAGAAACACAGGCTTCTGAGAGCTGCTGCCGAAGCTAAGATTGTAAGCTGATGAAAACCCAAGTCCAGAGACCCCGTTAACCAGGCGCTGATGCTCTCAGTGTGCAGGGTTCCCGCCTCCTGATGGTTCACAAGGCACTGCTGAGTTTGCTGCGTTCACTAGCGTTTGTTGAGCCCCTCCTGAGCCAGCATGCCAGGCCCTGTTCTCAGGACTACCCGTGTGGATTCTGGGCAGATTCCAAGTTGCTGTCCTGTGTTGTCATTAGCTCAGCACGGTCAGCCCTGCTTCCCCGAGGCGTCGTGTCTTCTGGCTAGGTTCTGGGTTACTCTGCTCTGACCCTGTGTCTGCAGTTTTTGCCTGCGATGTATAGCATGGTGGATCTTCATACTGCACAGCAGCCTCTGCCCGTCCCTTTTTGCAAAGGGACTAGATGGCACGTTTTCTTGAGGAGAGGATAAGGGCTGTGCTGTCTGAAGGGTCGCTTGGCTGGCTTTCCATCTCAGAACAGTCACCACCACCTGTGCTCCCAGGCTGGACCTTGTCTTCTCTGGTTTGACGATAGTGACTAATTGCCCACCTGTCCAGAACACCTCTCGATCCAGGCAGGCCTCTGCGAGGCAGATTTTTCTGTGCGCTGCAGGCTGAAGTTGGCCTGCAGAGTAGGGAGAGCCTCTGTCATGTTGCTGGCTTTACCTTCTTGTTTTGGCGGTGTCTGATACCTGTCCATCTTTGGATGCCTTGTTCTGACCCCTGACTTTTCCCGCATTAGGGACATGTTCCCTCTGGTTTTTCTGTGGAGCTGGCAATGAGATGGCTTTCTCGTCGTCTTTATTTTTCCCCTTCTGGGTTTGCTGTTCTTATGATGCCATCCTGTGCACAGCACACTTCCCCTCACTGCTTGTCGTAGTCCTGACTTGTGTGAATATGTTCCTATGGGAGCAGCCCCCGGCCCCAGTCCATCTACAGTTCTGAAAGTCTGCCTGTGCCACGAGGATCACCAGATACTGGCAGCTGAGGTGCATGCAGACTGAGCTAGGGAGCTGTCTTGTTGGGACCGGGATTCTGCTTTGAGTTGTTTCAGCTTTCCAGGGCTCAGTGCTCTTGGCTTATCCCTGGACTTCCTAGAAGGCCTGGAGGCCTCTTGTTTGCAGTCAGCCCCAGGGGACAGAGATGCTCCTGGGCTCCAGCACTCAGTCTGCAGCGCAGGAATGCTTCTCCCCAGGGTTTCCTTGCCTGGGGCTGCTGTTCCTGTCTGGCTGCTGTTTTCCCTTCCAGCCCCAACATCAGCACCAGCCCTTTGGAAGGTGGTCCCTGGCAACTCCTCCTGAGCCTGAGCCACGCAGCATCAGTTTGTGTTTCTTCATAGCCCTGGTTGTTTATTCATTTGCCCTCCATGAGGAAGCCCCTTCCAGGAGAGCAGAGTGAGAGCGAGGGCCTCCTTTTGTCCGGTCTCGCTCACTGGTCTCCAGTACCTGCCGCACAGTAGGTCCTCAGTAAATGACTGGAGCACGCAGGTCACTAAGCACTGGCAGAAACCTCTGGGCCTTTTGGGTTGTTTTCCTTTCCTCTCTTAATTCTTGCCCTTGCTTTCTACATTTTTGATACATTTCCATTCTGAAGGAGTCCTTGTTTCTTATGAGGTTCTTTCTGTCATCTTGTGTCTTGGCCAGGGGCATGACTGCAGTGGGGCGTGTGCATGGTGGATGGCAGTGATGCAAGAGTGACCAGTGTCTCTCAGGAGCACGTACAGCCCAAGTCTGCAGGCAGCTGTAGAGCTAGTCTGCACAGTTTCCGGTCTTGCACCTGTAAGGAGGCTGGGCAGCTGGGCTCTTGGGGTGGGGTCTGATCCAGTGCTTACTCCTACCCAGCTCCCTGTTCAGTGCATGGAATTGTGGGATAGGTTTTTAGGGGCCCTGGCTTTGCAAGTGGGCTGAGGACCACCTGGAGTGACTTCCTATAGTAGTGACCTGAGAGGAACCCAATCCAAAGGACCTGCAGAATGTGTCTGCCAAGCCAGAGGGACCTACGCCGGGCTAGCTTTACGGTAGAGGCTCTGAGAGGTGGGGTGCCGGCGGAGATGCAGGCCTCAGGGTGCCTTCTGCTCGACTTCGGTGTGCCGTGGGAAGAGTGCTAAAGCTAGAGTGTGTTAGGGTTTGGGGATCAGGTTATAAAAGCAAGAACTTACTGAAGAAGATTTAAAGGCTCACAGAAAGAAGCTGCCCTCATTCCCTCCCCGCTGCTGACTGGTATGTATCTCTATTTTATGGTGGCTTGCTCTTGTAACAAAGTATCATTCCGTACTTGCTTGTTACAGTCTAGTTCTGGGTAAGGGTTCTTACCCTCATAGTTGTGTGTTGTTTGCTTCCTAAACCATTGGGAATCACACACTGTATCCCTTTGTGTGGAAGGCTTGCCCTTAGGTGGTATTTCTAAGCAAGGTGGATGCCTGTTCCTTTGTCTGCTGCAGTAGCCCATGGCATGAAGTGGACTGAGGTGTGTCCCTCCCATTTTGTGCAGAGTGGCCCAGTCATCATGCTGAGTGCCAGTCCCACTCCTGCATTTCAGCGTGCTCAGTGGCTCAGTGCTGGGGCAGGTTTCATCTGGTCCAGGGCTCACCCGACTTCCCTCTGTAGAACGGGCTGTAGCCATGGCGGCTCCGCCAGCACTGGGAGAGTCCCTAGTGAAACCCTTTCTCCATGGTGTTACTGCTGGTGAAGCTAAGCTCTTGTTCTGCCTTATGAGGAAGAACGTAGCCTGCTGAGTGGCTCCAGGACTTTTGCAGCGTCCTTGGGTAGGCTCTGCCTGGGTGGCAGTCTTGGATCACTGAGGGTGCATATGGGCACCTCTCATAACCCCTTGGGCTCTGGAAGGTTTTTGGACTTATGTCTGTTCAAAGTCCAGACTGACAAGGTTAATCACCAAGCTGCAGAGTGCTCCCTTTCCATCTCTTGTGTATACTAGTTGGTATTAACCTGTTGTAATTAGTCTCCTGATATGGGAACCTCAATTGAGAAGTTGCCTAGATCTGATTAGCCTGTGGGCATCTGGGTGGAAGATGGTCTCCTTGTTAATTATGTAGGAGGGGTACCAACTGTGGACAGTGCCATTCCCTGGGCAGGTGGTCCTGGGCTATATGAGAATTCTACCTAAGTGTGAGCCTGAGTGAACGGCTCGCACCATTCCCCCGGGCTGCTGAATTCCTGCTGTGATGTCCCTCAGTGATAGGCTGTGACCTGGAAGTGCAGGTCACTTAATGATGGACTGTGACCTGGAAGTGCAGCCACCGCTTTGCTTCGGGTCAGTGTTTTATCACAGCAACACTTTAATCCTAACCTCCCTTGGTGCCCCCAGGGAGTAGCTGCCGCTAGAGAGAACTTTCTTCTTTCCTTAGCTTCCCAAGGCCAAGCCCTCACTCACCTCTGCGGTATAGCTGTGCCTCCCTATTCCGTTCAGCAGCCTACGTAGAAGATGGGGACCAGCAAGGCTCCTGCAGCTGCTCAGAGAGCAGCCAGTGGGAGCCCCACAGACACCAGGCCAGCACTAGGCTGCTTCCTCCCACTTGTTTTGAGCCTGCAGTTTAAAAATAAAAAGTGTTTGATAGTCTGGTTCAAAGTTTCCTAATTTGTTTCTGATTCAAACTTTTCTAATTTGTTCAGATAGTTGCCTTGTGCCGTAATTAAATGAGTGATTTATAATTAGTTCATTAACTATGCTAGTTAATGATGCTTTAAGGAAGATTATCTGCCCTCAGAATAGGAGAAGCAGTTCTTTGATTGTCTCATGGATACTTGGACTTGTCATTTGCTTAGCAGCCTGTTGCTTCTGGTTGGTAAAGAGGTAACTGCAGCTCAGTGCCCTTGTGTCAAAGCAAGCTGCAGGACCCTCCTGTCCTGGCTGCTCTGTGTACACTAGTCGGTATTACCTACTGTAGTTAGCTTCAATCGTCAGCTTCACGGGTGTGTGTGTGTGTGTGTGTGTGTGTGTGTGTGTGTATTGTATCAGTTAATTTCACATAATTGTACCAAGGTGCTGTTTTCTGGCAAAAAAGGGTGCCTGAAGCAAAAGGTTCTGGTCTCTCAGAAACTACTGATTGTAAAGTTTTTTGAGGCAGAGCATGGTGGTTTTGCACACCGTTAATGCCAGGACTTGTGGACAAAAGCAGTGGATCTGTGTGAGTTTGAGGCCAGCCTGGTCGACATAGAAAGTATCAGGTCAACGAGAGCTGTGCAGTAAGACCATGTCTGAAACCAACAACAGTTAACCCCAAACAAAAGCTTCTGAAGACAAAGTTGGAGGAAGAGAGAATCATTGACAGTAGCGGACAGTTTTCAGTGGTTTGTACTGGAAAAGACTGGGAAGGGAAAGCAGTACTTGAGTCAAGTACAGGCCCGGTCATCGAGTACCAGTAGAATCGTGAGCTGATAAGATGAATGGTGGCCTGGCTCTAGGTAAAGGAGGCAAGTGTTAACAGTTGGAGAGCTGTCTACTTGTGGGGTGCAGAAGCTGTGTCTGGGCAAGTTGAGACGCTATGGTGCCAGCTGTTCACAGTTGGATCTGTTAAATGCTGTGGCCACATCCAAGGTGGGTCACCCATTTTTTTTTGTGTGTGCTCTTTCTCACTTGCACACACACTCTCTCTGATTCACTTTGTGTTATGTACATGAGTGTTTCACCTGCATGTATGTCTGTGTACCACCTGGGTCCAGAAGAAGGCATTGGGTTTCCTGGACCTGGAATCCAAATGGTTAGGAGCCTCCATGTGGTGCTGGGGTCAGAACCTGAATCCTCTACAAGAGCAACAGATGCTTTTAGCTCTGTTGTTTCTGTAGGTTTCCCCATCATGATCTTGATGCCCCTTGTTCATAGAATCCCTCTTCCCTCTCTTCAGCTGGACTTGTGGAGCTTGGCCTGGTGCTTGGCTGTGGATCTCTACATCTGCTTCCATCAGTTACTGGATGAAGGCTCATGTTTGTTTTTCTGAGTCTGGGTTACCTCACTCAGGATATTTTCTAGTTTCATCCATTTGCCTGTGCAGTCGAAGAGAATTGGAAGAAGGATTCTATGAGCAAGGGGCATCAAGATCATGATGGGGAAACGTACAGAGACAACCAAACCAAGCTAGTGGGAACTCATGAACTTTAGACCAACAGCTGTGGAACCTCCTTGGGACTGGACTAGGCCCTCTGCATAAGCGAGACAGTTGTGTAGTGTAGTGTGCTTAAGGGGCCCCCTGGCAGTAGGATCAGGATCCATCCCTGGTACATGAGCTGGCTTTTTGGAGCCCACTACCTATGATGAGACACTTTGCACAGCCTTGATGCAGGGGGAGGGGCTTGGACCTGCCTTAACTGAATCTACCAGGCTTTGTTGAATCCCCACGGGAGGCCTTGACTTGGAGGAGGTGGAAATGGGGGGTGTGTTGGGGCGGGGGAGAGGGAGGAGGGAAGAGAGGGGGATCTGTGGTTGGTATGTAAAATGAATAAAAAATTCTTAATAATTATAAAAACAAATAAACAGATGCTCTTAGCCTCTGAACCATAGCTTCAGCTCCAGCTCCGTTTCCTTCGGTACAGACACTGCTGTCACTCGTTGCCCACTCTTCCTGTGGCTGTTGTGTCTGAGCCATCCCTGCTGCAGGCTGTGACTCCGCTCTGCTGCTCATTTCTTCATGTTCTTTACTGGAGGCCGTGCAGCTGCTGGCCCAGGGTTGAGAAGAAGGAAGGGCACACCTCTGGGCAGCTTCCAAGTTGTGCTGGTGGGGTGGGGAGTAGAGGAGCCAGCTCTGCCCAGGCAGGGGCAGGAGGAAGGGTAGGGACCAGGAACCCAGGTTCCACAGTGGAAACCATCCCCCTCCCAGGATGGCCACTGCTTTCCTTGGTAGCTGGATTTGCTATGCAGTGATTTGGTTTGGCTTTGTAGCTGTGGTCTTTTCTTCTTAAAAATAGCCCAGTGATCCAGGCTCCATGCCCCTGATCTGGGTGTTAAGGGTAGAAACTGATGGAACGCACAGAAGAGACGTGAGAAAATCTGTTTCCCTCTGGTGTTCTAAGATGGTCTCATGTAGTCCAGGCCGCTGTCAGCTCTCTGTTCTCATGCCTCTATCTCCAAGTGCTGGGATTATAGATGTGGGTCTCCACACTCAGTCTGCCATTACCCCTTGAATGGATTTGGACTTCCAGGAAAGTGATTATAGAGGAAAACTACCTTGTTTTTCTATGAACTTTAATTTTCAGTAGAAAAATATACTAGAAAAGTCAGCTCTCTAGTATTCTCATGGTGAAAACTAAAGCTCACCAAGAAGCCCCTGGTCTGGCCATTTTCATCCTCAGAATAATCACAGAGTCCCTAGTTCAGGAACTGCAGTGCTCAGTGCAGTCCCTGTCCCCATGGAATTGGAGCTAGGCCTGGCCTGTGGGCCAAAAGCCATCTTCAGTATCTCAGAGACAAGCATGGTCCCCTTGGTTACAATGTTCCGTTTCTACACTATAGAACCAGCAAATGGAGTACAAAACTCAGGATGCTCTGGGAATCCAGCACTACAAGGTGGTGGCAAGCATTTCCCCAGAGGCTGCTGATAAAGGCTGAGCACAGCTGGGCTGCTTTCCCAGGGCACGCAGCCTGGCGGTTGGTGAGTGGCAGGCCCTAGAGTATGAAGACAAGGTTCGGACGGAGTGAACACGCAGGCCTCCAGCACATCTCTTTGTGTTCTTCCTTCTCCGCACCTGGTGGAGGCCCCAAGAGGAGTGGAAGCAGGGACCCCACCAGGCTTCTAGACCACCGGACACCTGTCCCTTAGCTGGCAGCTGCCTCCATGCACAGCGGTGGCTTTTCTCACTGGGGCAGTGCTGACCACAGCAGGATTAGCATCAGCTCCCACTAGCTATGGGATGCCACCTCTGTGGCCCATGAGAGCTGGACCGTGAGGCAGCCACAGGCTCTTGAGGTCTGCCCAGACATGACAGTGATGCTCTGATTGCCCATGTCTGTTAACAGCTGTCATCAATCATCAGACATCCTGTCCTCACTGACTCAGTTTTGTGGTGTCTTGGTGACCCTGCTTGCTTCCAGGAAAGGCCAACAGGAGGCTTGGCTCTTTGTCTCACCCCCTTGTCTTAGTTAGGGTTTCTCTTGCTGTGCAGAGACACCATGACCATGACAACTCTTATGAAGGAAAACATTTATTTGGGGTTAGCTTACAGTTTCAGAGGTTTAGTCTATTATTGTCATGGCAGGAATCATGTCAGTCTGCAGACAGACATGGTGCTGGAGAAGGAGCTGAGAGTTCTACATCTGTATCTTCAGGCAGCTAGAGGTGAATTGGCTTGAACTCTTGAGGCCTGAAAGCCTACCCCCTAGTGACACACTTCCTCCAACAAGGCCACACCTCCTAATAGCACGGCTCCCTATGGACCAAGTATCCAACCAAACACATGAGACTATGGGGGCATTTCTCTTCAGACCACCACACCCTCATCTCAGGGCACCAAGGCAGTCTAGCAGCAGCAGTATTCTGTTCTGAGAACACAAAGCACATGTTCTTGACTGACTTTTTCCCAGAACAGTGGTACCGTTTCCATTCCATTTCTCATGATTTCAGATAGACGAGTGCCTGTCCTACCTCGCTGATCGGACCATAGCACTGGGATGAGAGCCTGTGTTCTCATGGGCACCTGGGTAGGCTTAGCCTTATTTACTTGGAGGGCCGCTCTCTCTCGGCCCTGAGTGAGTGATGAGGCGTCTGAGCACACGCTGTGTTTTACTGGTGGGTGTTTGCTGTGGACCAGAGGACTTGTCACCTCCCAGGTGTCCTCCTGGTGACTTCCCCTGAGGCCTGGGGAGCAGGAAAGCAACTGCTTGATACTGTTGGTGTTTCAGACGTAGCTTCAAAGAAGGTTGGCTGTGTGTACTGCTTTGCTAGTGAAGACTGGAGTCACATTTGGCCATCGGACCTCTCTGTCTACAAGATGTGTGGTGTGGCCAGTCTGTGAGCTATGCATGAGACTAGTGAGCTGGCCTCAGTGTTCTGCTGTGGTCTGGGCCAGTTATTTAATTATCTTCTCTGTCTCTGTGTTGGCCTATTTCTGAACCCTGCTCTCGGGCTGTGAACTCTGCTGTTCTCATCCTGAGCTGCTGAGACCTGGGGCTGTTGGGCTCCTGTGGCTGTTCATGTATCTTTCCTGTCTCAGGCTGTGTGTATTACCTGTCATGAGGCACCCAGTAGAGGTACCTGTGTGGTTCAGGAGGCCTTGATGGGGCCTGCACCTTTGGCTGGCTGCTGCACTGCACAGTGGTCATCAGAAAACGCCCTTGCTGTGAGTGCAGCTCTCACACGGACACTGTTTAGAATGTTTCCTTAAAGGCTGGTCAGAAATGCACTAATGCTTGGAATTGACAAGGATTCACCTGTGCAGTTAAACCATACTGTGAGATTTCGTGTACTGCACAGTTTTCATTTCATTGTGTTTTCATAGAAAAGAAACTCGGGGCTAGAAAGGTGCCTCAGTAGTAAAGCGCATTGGCTATTCCTCCAGAGCACCTGGACTTGGTTCTCAGTGCCCACATGGCAACTCTCTGCTGTCTGTAACTCTAGTTCCAGGAGCTCTGATGCTCTCTTAGGGCCTCTGAGAGTACCATGTGTACAAGAGGTGCACAGACATGCTTGCAAGGAAAACTCCCAGACACATAAAATAAATAGTAATAAAAACTAAATAAGCTGGACCTTTTCTAAGTGTAATTTTTATTTCATGTGTACGGCTGTTTGCTGTGTGTCTGTCTACCGTGTATGTACAGCGCCTCTGGAGACCAGAGGAGGCCGACAGGTCCTCTAGAACTAGAATTACAAAGAATTGTGAGCCACCCTGCTGGTGCTAGGAATCGAACCTGGGGTCCTCCGGAAGAGCAGCCAGTGCTCTTAACCACATCACTCCAGTCCCAGAAGCTGGCTTCTGAGTGGCTCCAAATATATTTTCATCTATAGAAAAAGGTAAGATTCTGCTTAATTGTAACTCTTGTTTTTCTCTTTTATCCCCCAGGCTTCATGAGGAAATAATTGACTTTTATAACTTCATGTCCCCTTGTCCTGAAGAGGCAGCCATGAGAAGGGAGGTAGTGAAACGGATCGAAACTGTGGTGAAAGACCTCTGGCCGACAGCTGAGGTGGGTATCTGTCATGGCACCTCACCACCCCGTCAGTGTGAATGCCCTGTGATTGTTTTGTCAGCTGTGCCCACACCCCGTGGGTGTAGTGGCCCTTCAGGCACAGTCCTGGGCAGTGTCACCTGGGAGCTGCTTACAGAAGCGCTCTCCACTCTGCTTTGCTGAATCAAACTCTGGAGTGGTTCAGTGGTCAGCTCACCAGTGCTGCTGGAGGATTCATTCATGTTGACACTCTCATATTCATTTATTCTTCCTCCTGCCTCTCCCTTTCCCTTCCTCTCTCCTTCTTGTTTTCAATTCTCCTGAAGGTTAGAAAGCTCACTCCTGCCCCCCCCCCCACTTCAGTCCTGCACTTCATAGCATGCAACGTGTTTGTTCCATTAGAAATTGCAAATACAAGTGGAGCACGGTGGTGCTGCATGCCTTTAGTCCCAGCACTCAGGAGGCAGAGGCTGTGAGTTCAGGGCTAGCCTGGTCTACATAGTAAGTTCCAGGATAGCCAGAGCTACATAGCGAGAGAGAAAATTGCAGTGTTTCATAGGACCTCACTTTCACACGGATGAGTAAGTGTCTGTGGAAATGAGGCACTTGGGTATTTGCAGTTCTTATGCAGGTACCCTGCAGTATGCCAACTGTGACCAGGTAGCTAATAGCCTGGCCTGCATTTTGATGTAAACATACAAGGAATTTTCTAGTTTGTTGTAGCATTTCACCTGCTTCCTCCCCTAACTTCCAAACTGGTTTTGTTGTTTACTCATGTTTTGCAAGGCATAATGGGAGTCTGCTGACCTGACCTGTGGGGCATTTTCTTTCAGGTGCAGATATTTGGCAGCTTTAGTACAGGTCTCTATCTTCCAACAAGGTGAGTGCCACTCAGATGATTGTGTGCTTTAGTGTTTATTTATGGAGTAGATGGTGTGTGTGTGCATCCGAGGCGCGAATAGCCAGCTAACGGGAAGGATTGTGGAGCAGAGCGGGACGATAGGCAGAAAGGGGAATTTAGGTTAGTATTAAGGCACCAAATTGCTTGCTTGGTACTTCTTGTCTTGCATTTAATTTCTTATGGAACAGAAATGTTGAACATTAGAGACAGAAGATGAATG